ATATATATATATATATATACTTATGTGTGTATATATATGTATTTCAATAATTTTTTATCATTTTATTTTTTAATTTTAATTTAAAAAACAGTTCGTTCTAATTTCATTTTCTATGCTCATTCTCTCATACGTTTTTGATATTACATTATCGATATTATTCAATATTATTAATCAGTAAATTAGCATATAATTAATATAATTCCAAATTGTTTTTAACAAAAAATGCATTTAAGAAAGAAAAAGAGTGGAAGAGAGAGAGAGAGAGAGAGAGAGAGGTGTATCGTTTTAACGAAGAGAATGATTAAAAAGAGCAAAAACTAATATTAAATATTTAACGCAGGAAAAATTAAAGGAACATTTGCGAACGTTTGATGAGATTAATTTAAAACATTTTAATAATAATAAATCGACGCATGTGTGAATAATAATAGAAAAGTAAATAAAATAAAGTAAAATAAAATAAAGTAAAATAAAATAAAACGATATTACGAGACTGAAACGCATTCGTGCGTTGTCACGTGCCATATATATATTAATACATATATAAATACATAAATAAATACATACATACATACATACATATATATACTTACGTACGTATATGTCGTGTATCGATTCTCTGCACATTAAACGGATAATCGATAAAATCATTCGTTTAGAATTAAAAATCTTAAGGCTACGTTCCTGCAAGACTTTACACGAACAATTAAAAAAATCATCGAATAAATTCCCCTAACGACGATAATTCGACGATGAAAAATATTTAACAATAACAAAAAATGGAAAGGACTTTCGATTTACTCTTACATTCCTAGAAAAAAAATATATATAATATGATTCGCGCGCGATATAGAAATAATTGGAATGAAGGGAAAGAAGATAAAAAAATACAAGTCGTTTTTTAGTTCACACAGCTCTCTCACTCTATCTCTCTTTTTCTCTCTCTCTCTCTCTCTCTCTCTTTCTCTCTCTTTCTCTCTCTCTCTCTCTTTCTCTTACTCTTGTGCTGTGAAATTTATATTTTAAATATATTAGTAAGACCGTATCGATGAACTGTGACAAAAAATTATACTATACGGAAAGAAATTAAAAGAGAAAGAGAAAAAGAGAAAGAAAGAGAGAGAGAGAGAGAGAGAGAGAGAGAGAGAGAGAGAAACACATAAGGGAAAAAGATAGAGAGAAAGATAAGGAAAAAATAAGAATGAATTATCTAAGGGTGAGATTAAAATTTTGGACCAATATTTTATTCACGATTATCGATTTAAAGATGAAAATAATTCTACGAAATATTCGAGGATTCTACGTTGCAATAAAACGATTTAAAAAGTTCGCATGTATTTATGATGTGATCAGTCAATGAACTAGACGAGAGTGTAAGAAAAAAAAATTTGTTCATCATCGTATATCATTGGCTCGTAGATTGATCGTCCATTGACGAATTTCTTCGTAGAATTATGATAAGTTTTAAATGGGTAATAGAAATTGAAATATTGTTCGAAATTTATTGGCGAACGAATAGAAACAAAAATCGACTTTAATTTAATGTATTAGAAAGTAAATTTAATTATTACATAATTGTTGTATTAATTTCGTTTCTTTAGCTCATTGCTCAATTCATTTAACGCAAGTTTTACAAACTAATCGTGCGCGAATATTCATCCAATCGAAGATAAATTACACGTCGTCGTTCTCTCTGCAAAAATCTAAATGATGCTCTTTGGTTAGACGATACCACTCACCAAACACCCACTACCGTCATCTAAATAAAAAAGGAAACAAAAAAAAAATATATATTAGAATCTTTAAATTTTCTCAAATTTCTAATAAGATAAATCTATTTGTTAAATTCGTTTGAACGTAATTAGAAGAAATCAGCAATGTAGCAAAAGGGCAGCTTAGATTAAGTAAAGTGTTATCGTTAGTTGTGTTCCCAAATGATTAGCATTAATTGTTGTCGATTAATATCATTCGAAAAATTAACGATTCATTTTTCAATTAGAATCGTATTTAACCTCTGTCTCTATCTCTCGCTTTCTTTCTCTTTCCCTTTTTTTAATTCTTTTCTCACTCTCTCTCTCTCTCTCTGTCTTTCACTCTCTCTCTCTCTCTCTCTATCTCTTTTTTGCACTTTGTGCCTGTCTCTTTATTACTCAAGAAAACAATTTTATAAAATAATTATCGATTATCATCGATGAGAACTGATTAATGTATAATATAAGAAACAAATATTTCCTATTTTCTTCCTTGCATTTTGCATTTTCTTTAATCTAATTATCTATCTTCTTTTTTATCAATGATTTTTATGAAAATAGAAAAAGAGAGGTAGATAGAGAGAAAGAGAGAGAGAGAGAGAGAGAGAGAGAGAGAAAGAGTGAGGAACAAATAAGATGATATAAATTCTCATCTTTTATCTAAATTATTTCATTTTGCTTATCTTATTATTATTAGATGCTGTATAATGAAAGTGTTTCTTCTTTCTATATTCTTCGCATACATTCTATGATATATTAACATTAACACAAACACACACACATACACATACATATAACAAACATACATTCGCATAACATATACGCATACATGAACACATAGACACACGGACTATAGTTTCCTTCTTCGTAGTGCACACAATTTGATTCAAGCGTAATATCGAGTATTGTATATTATATACATAAACATAAATAATGATTATAATTATTCGCGTATTTTAATCTCCGGTAAAGACGCAGCTCTAAACGTTTTATTATCTTACGAGAACAATGGTTCCGAGATTAATTAAAAATAGACCGCGTTTTAATCATTACGCGTAATATTTGTAATAAGAACAGATTCGGCACGTTAAGATGCTAACAATATTAAAAATTGTATCTGTGCTGCCATTAGCATTAAAAAATGAGAGAAAGAGAGAGAGAGAGTGAAAATAAGAATGTGTGTGTGAGATTAAAAAAAAATAAATCATGAAAAAGAAATATAAAGGGATAGAAAGAGAGAGAGAGAGAGAGAGAGAGAGAGAGAGAGAGAGAGAGAGAGAGAGGAAATAAGAATAAGAAGAAAAGAAAGTGCGTGATGAAATGATTGAAAAGCCAAAGTATATAATTAAACAACAAGATCCCCCCTCTACATTTACAAGCACTCATACGATCGCGGAAACACACACACACACATATATATACACACAGAAATTACTACTTTCATGACATAATTAAAATACATACCAAATACGATCATACACATATATACACACATATACATATTACACAAAAGCGCACGCAGCATAAATTACGTACCCGAGATGTAATCGTGTAAAAGCCTTTTAAATCCCAAGCAAGGAAACAAAAATACTTCGTTTCGCGGTACAAGCATGATTTTAGGAAATCCTTCATGTCGAATAATTATTAATTAGCATTCTCATTCCATATATCGTGTAATCGAGATATCGAGCGGTCGCGAACAGTACTTATTTAGTGGTTAAAAGAAATGATAAGAAATGATAAGAAGAAGAAGAAAAAGAAGAAGAAGAAGAAGAAGAAGAAGAAGAAGATAAAACAAAATAATAAGAAATGAAGAAACCAGAAATAAGAGAAGGCAACTGTGGACATAGACAAAAGTTATGATTCTCTTTAGCGTGTTAATGTAATCGAATGTGATCGATTTGTTAATTAACATTGTCATGTCTTTCTTTTTTACATTGTGATTTTTAATGTTATTCATTATCGTCATTGGTCAGTTATTTCTTAATATTATTGTCATTGTATTTAGTATTATTATTATTATTATTGATTATTGATTATTGATTATTGATTATAATTGTTTATTACTGATATAATTATTATTAGTTATTAACAACGTTATTGTCTTCGATCATCAACATTGAACAAATCTCTTGTTTCTAGTCGAAATCTTCTAGTTTCATTATAATTCCATCGACACATACGATCCCATATGCGATTGAAACACGCGTTGTAGTAACATACACGATTTTTGCGAAATAGAAAGAAAAAGAGAGAGAAAGAGAGCGATGCATTACCCGTACAAGAAATACAGTATACAATCCGTAAATATGAGGTAAATGTTGATTTGTTTAAATAAATGTAAGTTTGAAAATCCATCGTGAGTTTGTATATTCGCACCAAATTGTTTCCAAATACCTCATGTGAAAAAATCAAAATATTTTTTCAAAACTCTTACCAAACTATTTATAGAATAATTTTCTTTCAATTTTCTAAAAAAAAAAAATTTATTAAAATCAAAAAAGAAGAAATGATAGATATTATTTATAATTTTTCAAAAGATAGTAGTCGATAAGGTAGGAAATAATTCTATCGAAAGTTTGAGGCGCATGCACAGTTGAGAACTACCGTAAGGACGCTAGCAAAGAACCATAACAGCAGAAGAAAATGAATGAGTGCTTTTAATTGCTCATTAAAATCTCAATCAAAATTCATAATTGCACATTAAATTCTCAATCAAAATCTATAGTTGCTCACTTTATTAATTATTTATTTATTTAGTTATGAATAATTGAAAAATCATTTTTTTCTGCTGTTGCGATTCTATGCCAACTTTTTTGTGGTGAAATATACAGAAACTCACAAGTTCCCTTTTTTATCTACCCAGCAGAAGAATACCATCAATATTCTATTATTATAATATATCTGTATTCTTTGATAGTATTGTACCGTCATCGCGTTAAGTATTATATCTACTATCGTCCAATGGTGGTATCAGTGGTAACAAAAATAATGCTGGGTAGATAAAAAAGGGAACTTGTGAGTTTCTGTATATTTCACCACAAAAAAGTTAGCATAGAATCGCAACAGTAGAAAAAAATGATTTTTCAATTATTTATAACTAATTAAATAAATAATTAATAAAGTGAGCAATTATGGATTTTGATTGAGAATTTAATGTGCAATTATAAATTTTGATTGAGATTTTAATGAGGAATTAAAAGCACATATTCATTTTTTTCTGCTATTAAAGTTCCTTGCCAGCGTCCCTACTGTTTGAGAACAGTAAATCATTAGAATGGCCGATCTCAATAAAGAGTTAAACGAGTATCTTTTAAGAAATAAAAATGATGAACGATGTGAAATATCTATGGAGACTGAGGCGAGTTCCTCACAGGATTTTAGAAAATGGTATGGAATAATGCATAAAAATAGCGCAAACCAAAGATGGTATAAGGGACTCGGAGAAAAATGTTTTTCTAGCATGGTAAAAAGCTTCACTAATATAACCTTAGCGTCTCGATCGAAATATTTTTCATATCAATATATAATGTGTTGTGTTTTTATTATTATTTATATTTAATATTTTACTATTTCTTTGTTCCCCTTTGATTTTTCTTCTCAGACAAGAAAGCAAAGAATCGCGGCCTGTGCATTATGCGGTATCTCAGGATTTTTTTGCTTATTAATATCTGCATTTTATTTGCCTGTACTTCTTATATATGAAAGAAAATTTGTCGGATTGTACACCTTAGGAAGTATATTAATGTTGTTAAGGTAGGTATTGAAATATTATTAATTTAATTATTATTTTATAAATTGTCAATGTATCAATATTATGAAATAATTTGTCATTTACAGTTTGGCCTTTCTGTGGGGTCCAAGCAATTATTTAGAATCTTTACTTTCACCTAAAAGAAGATACTATGCGCTATCTTATATTACAATGTTGATAGGTACATTGTATTGTACGATCTATTTAAAATCAATGCCGTTAACATTATTGTGCTGCATATTAGAATCCATTGCTCTGATTTTGTTTCTTACATCGAGTTTGCCAGGTGGAACTACTACTTTAAATTTGATCAGCAGACTTTGTACCGGAATGTTCACATCATCAATTGGTACTACGCTCTCTGTATAATGTCATATCTTAGGTATTGAGTACTACTCATTTATAATATTAAGAAATGTTTATTTTTATAATATTAACAAATTTTTGTATAAAGCATTTGAATCTATAGTTTCCAAAGATTGTTCGATGTTATTCTATCATTGTTAGGGCATATCTGTGCATCTGTTTGTATATATTACATCAGTACATTCATTTTCATATACATTTTCGTCTATAAAATATCTTCTAAGAAAATTAACGAATTTTAACATTTTTTGTTTACGATAAAACTATTATTGTACGAAAGCAAATTCGTATAAATAATAACAGAAATTATTATTAGTTTTATAACTAATTAGTTTTATTTATTTTTGGTTTCTTTTTCTTAGGTGCTTTAGTAGCTTTCGTTCTATTACTATTCCCTCGCAATTGTAATACTTTCAAGGGTAGATATGTAGTATTGCCATTATTAGATTTATCCTTTTCAGAGGGAGAGTAAAAATATCTCGTATTCTGTAAACTTGGTATATCAGTATCATTTAAATTAACATCATTAAAAGGAATAAATTCAGGGGTTTTATCATCAATATTCTTAGTATTATCACAGATAACATTAGGTGGAATAAACACTCTTTCTTTACACGAAGATCTAAATTTATAGATATTTTCCATCGAGATAAATTCTTCATTGACTCCAAAAGTACTTTCTTTTTTAGATACACTATCATTTACTTTATCGCTCTTAATTATTGTACAATCTAAAGTCGTTTCTGTATCCATATCTGTAGATAATGTTTGTAATGATCTCATCGGTGCAGGATAATTTTTAGAGATATCTATTACACTATCGTACAACTTATGAAAATGATGATCCAAAGATAACACTATTTTCTATAACCAAACGTACACAGAATCAAAATAAAATAAATAAATTTTTTCAATTAAATATAAAAAGATCATACTTTCAAACCAAGTGCTGTAGATGAAAATCCAATAGTCTCAAACGTAAGAACTTTTAAAGATGATACAAGGAGCAATGGTATTTCTTTCCTTTGTGCCATCATGACAATATGCTTTATTAAAAGTGGCGGTTCCACGTTAGCATCCAATAGAACACAACATACTGCATCTTTTTCTAATGAGCGTGTAACAGTATTCACACCAAGGACTACTGAATTTCTAAATAAATGAAAAAACAAGACAAATTACTTAAAATAAATGTTGGTGTTAGGATTGCACTAAGGTTTGATGTTAAATTTATAAAAAAATAAACTTACAACATATCCCTTTTGGGGAATGGTTCCTCACTAACTTTTGGCTCTTCTTTTGGTTCATTTTCTATACGTCCCCTTTTTTTACTCGATGGTCTTCTTAATACTGGAAGTAATCTATAAAATATTGATATAATTTATTTAATTATGAAAACACACAAACATCAATGTAACAACTTACTCTTCTAGTATAGAGTTTAATTTTACTTTATCCTCTTGTTTTACCACAGGCCTATTAATAGAATAAAAAAAAAAGAACATTTTTATCTTATAAAGTTAGAGATATTTTATGATAAAAAAAAAATAAAACATTAAGAAAAGTAAACAATGTACCAATAATTATCATGCGGTTGAGCTAGAACATTACGCAATTTGATAGATGTTCGTTTCCCTGACAAACTTTGTCTCTGTTGTTGTTTTGTCAATACCGGTGTATCCATAATAAAAAACTTATTATTATTGTATTTAAAATAAATCGATAAATCTTGTCATTCCTAGAATCATGGAAGATACAGAAACTAAGTAATGAAGTGTAATATTTAGGTTAGGTGCATACAATGTTCACCTGGTGACAGATTTAGGAAACAATATTGAATAAAAATATGTCTTAATTATTTTAAATTATAAGCGCTTAAATACATTTTAATTTTTTTAAATTACTTTTATATAATAATCTTAAATATATATTAGTCTTTAAATCATTTAGTATATAAAATTTAAATTACTATTGTTGTAATGTTGAATATATGTATTCTCTTATTATTAATATTTACAATAATAGTAAATAATATTTAGTAAAATGTGAGGTTAGGTATTTAAAAGAAAAAGTCAATGGTAAAAATATTGTGAAACAAACAACACTACAATATTTTACATTAATTTGATATTTATAATATTATCAGCTAATAAACAATTCATTCGTAATATGTTTGGTGATAATGGTATATGTTTTGGTGATAATTATGATGAGATATTTCATATCTTGTTTGTTTCACAAGTTCTATGATCACGTCTAATGTAATTTTTAGTTTCTGGTTGACGAATGAGCTCTCGTGACCGTATACGAGGGAGAATATTTTAAATTAATCTTTTTTAAGTATAGATTGACATTGTTATATACATATTTTTTTTGTGGGAAAAGAATTTCATTATTATTGCAGTGATATTTAAGAAAATCAATATAAATTGTTATACTTGTTAAACGTTTGTTGTAGGTAATGTATAAATAAGTGTTTCTTAAATATTATTTTATTATATACTGTTATTGTAATAACTATAACGATAAGAAATCTATGTTCTGTTTTATATTGATACTTATGAAAAATTGTTTATTAATTAATAGAATTTATTGCTCAAAAAATAACCTAAGGTGATGGGAGAAAGACAATCTAGACAATCTAACGATTGGCGACCTTTTGTTTATGGAGGCCTTGCTTCTATCGTTGCAGAGTTAGGTAGGTTTATTCAAATTGACATAACTATTTTATTAATATCTTTAATTATTCATAATTAGTCTTGTATTAATATTTATGTCTATTTTTTTTTCTAGGTACTTTTCCTTTGGATACAACAAAAACACGTTTGCAAGTGCAAGGTCAAAAATTAGATAGAAAGCATGCACATTTAAAGTATTCTGGTATGACTAACGCTTTATTTCAAATATCTAAAGAAGAAGGATTCCGAGCTTTATATTCTGGGTATTTTAATTTTTATTAAGTCGACAAAAGTATTAGTTTTGTAGTTACTTGTTATCACATTATTTACTTTTGATTTAAATTCTATAGGATTAGTTCCGCTATTCTTAGACAAGCTACGTATGGAACAATAAAGTTTGGAACATATTATTCGCTGCAAGAAATCGCTACAAAAAAATGGGGAACAGATGATGCAGTACTTATTAATATTATATGCGCAGCATTAGCTGGTGCAATATCAAGTGCAATAGCTAATCCTACCGATGTGATAAAAGTTCGTATGCAAGTAACAGGTATCGATGCTAATTTATCCTTAATGAGTTGCTTCCAAGATGTTTATCAACATGAAGGCATACGTGGCTTATGGAGGGTAATGTATATAATTCCAATCAAAATATAAACTTTGTTTATGCAAGCAAAATGAAATTAACAGTTCTATGTAGTAAGTAAGTTCCATTGCAAATAATTACATTTTTTTAATATTCTTACAGGGTGTAGGGCCAACTGCTCAAAGAGCGGCCATTATCGCGGCGGTAGAATTACCTATTTATGACTTTAGTAAGAGTAAATTTATGGAATTTCTTGGGGACAGCGTTAGTAACCATTTTGTGTAAGTCTCGAATTGAAACATTTGATAACAAAACAAAATTTAATACTATATGTATGCATCGGCACAAATTATAATGTTTTAGAAAGATTTTTTATATTGACTATTGATTCCAATCTATTATGGTACAATAATTTGATTTCTTTTAATTCTGAAAACAATTTTTTATAATTGTAATTTATCACTTTTACATTATATTTATATATAAGCATATTGTACATTGTAATACATTGTATTACATAATGCGTGTTGTACAATGTGTATTACTGATACTAATTGTATCAGCTTAACCCTTATCCAAGCAAATTTTGTACTCTTCTTTATATGGCAAAGAAATCAATGATTCTTACTTTGCTATAAATTATATTTCAATCTATTGTTTTATATAATTAAAAAAATATATTTTAATTTAATAATAATTAGCTTTTTCAAAATGTGTATTAAAAAACATCTCGTATAATACATGATGTCATGTGACAATATATTCCGTCATCTCAAAGGTGTGCCTTCCTTATTAATATTTTGTTTCGATGTGCATTTTGTTGATATGCTTTACTTTACATAACATTTTGTTCATCATATATTATTTTATATTTTTTAATGCATTTGTTAAAATTACAACAATTGACATTGATTGTCATTTTAATAACATAATAATAATACTTTATCTCTCAAAACTTTATTTAGGTTTTAGCAATGGATTTCATCATTTTACATGATGGAGTAATATCTAATGTTTGTATTAAGAGAGAGGAAAAGAAAGGAACAATCATTTCCTAAAATATCAACATTTTATTTCCAGGTCCATACTCATTATCTTGCACATGGGCGCAAGCAGTACATGGATGATATTGAGATGACCTCAGAGACTTAATACTAAAGTGTTCAGCACTCCGTGTTCAGTATAAGTTTATTGACACGTTCCTGCAAATGTTCTGCAACAAGAACCTTTTTTGGTTAGCAATTTATGCATCCCCCGAGCTTTAGAAAATCCATTTACTAATTGCTAAACAGTGCATTATTTAAAAATCAATATATATATATTTATAAATATATATGTATATACATATATTATTACAATTAGTCATCGCAATTGCTGCATTGGAGGAGAAATCCTCTTGTTTTTTTTTGTTTTCCTTAATTAATATTGTTTTCTTTTTTTTTCCTTTTGATCCCAAAATACATTAATCGATACTAACAAATGATATTGTATGCTTTCTTATAATAATCATACGTCAGCACAGACATCATATATCTTAATACAAATTCACGCATAATGCCTGGATAAGGGTTCTTATTCTTCTTGTAATATACAACATTGACAATATGTGTTTAATAGAAATACGAATAATGTTAATTATTAGTAAATTCTTTTATAACTATTCACAAAACGAAAATTCAATCTTCGTAGTTGTTCAAATTTTTTTTTTATCTCACTATTCGATACTTTATAATAAAATTATGAATTATTTAGTAACCGAGCCTGCAAACAAAAATCGATTGAAGAGAATTAACAAACTGATATAATTTAGATTCTAATTTATATTTCAGATCTAGTTTTATCGCCAGTATGGGTAGTGCAGTCGCTTCTACTCCCATAGATGTTGTACGTGTAAGTAATTGTATAATCATAAGATCAAAGATTAAATTTTTATCTCTTATACAAATTTAATTTTCATCGACATTTTAATTTTAGACACGACTGATGAATCAAAGAAGAGTATCAACTTCTAGTGGCAAATTACCACCTCATATTTATACTGGAAGTATGGATTGTTTCATTCAGGTATTGGTAACTGTTGATAACAATTTTCAATTCTTCTTAAATTAAAACAAATTTATATTCTATACTTCAAACTTTCAGACCATAAAAAATGAAGGATTTTTTGCATTGTATAAAGGATTTATACCAACATGGTTTAGAATGGGTCCATGGAATATTATATTCTTTATTACTTACGAACAATTGAAACAACTTTAATCATTAGTAGCTTATCTTAGAAAAGAAAAAAGTATTGATCCTATGCTTTAAAAGAGTTAACAGTATATATAATAACTGGATCAGTGTATTTTTGTTGTTGCATTTAGCGTTAAGATTCTTTTTTTTAAATTAATTTATCTTCGTGTCTTCTCTTTACAAAGTTAATAGAAATTAATGTAAAGATTACTCCTTAAATGATGACATTGTAAAAAGTGTACAACATAATTTTTTTATCAATGAAAGCAGAATTCTTTAAAGTACAGAAAACGATAAATCTAAAAGTTTGCATTCGATCTTAAATTTGCATTTCATCGTTGCAACAAAAAGAAAACAAAGAAAGGAAAAGCACATATAATGTTTCTAGTATACTTTAGAAACGATATATATTTTTCTCAATAAAAATAAACTGTTTAAAAGAAATGTTTTAAAAGTATATTTTAAAAAATAATGACTGATATTAAATGTTCTATAAAAAAGAAAAAAAAAATTAAAAAAAAAGAATGGAATAATCTCTAATTAAAAACATTCTATATCTAGTCAAAATGAAAAATTTTCAAATCCAAAACTGCTAAGTATTATAAAAATAATTCACATTTTAAAAGCGATAATGAAAAATATGTAAAAGCACGCGTAGAGTATATATATATATAAAAACTTAAATTTAATATTTATATTTTTCTGAGGGATCTTACATGGTATTATATATATAGATAGATATATGTATACATACATACAATACATACTCTATTGTCAAAATAATTAATTTTATTTACTGTATAATATAAAATCATCATTTTAGGATACTCATGAAAAGATCTGTTGCACACATGTAACTATTATTTAAAATATAAATGTTCGCAAATAATTGAGATATAAATTTTTAAATATCGTCCTGCAGTTTATTTACACGCTTTTTACAAAATAAACAAAAAGAAGAAGGATTCTTATTTTTTCTAAACAGTATATTTAATTTCATCTTTTGATATATATATATTTACAACGTTTCTTGAATTTCAACAAAATAATTAATCTTTATTAAATCATATTTACTTGTAACTAAAACAGATATATTAATAATAATAAAATAAAGTAAAGAATACTTGAAGTATATTTAAACTTATCTTTCAAGAACAATTACACATTTTTTCTCTTTTCTTTTTTAACTTTTTTTTTTTAATTATAATATTTATAATAGGCAAATTATTCATCACTTCTTTTTACATTCCCAAACTATAACTTTTCTATCTTTTCCACCTGTTATAACCATATTATTATTAGTAGTTACCGCTATTGTGAAAATTGGTCCTGAAATTGTTAAAAAATAAACAATTAATTATATTATTACACACATATATTTAATTAATTAATTAATAACTTTAAAAAGATGTATGTAGTAATAAATTATGTATTACCGTCATGACAATGGATTTTGGACAGAAAAACCGCTTCTGGAAAATTCCATAAACTGACATTTCCAGCACTGTCTCCTATTAATAATAACATTCTGATCCATTTTAATGATAATGCTTCGTGTTCCAAAGTTGTATGATAAATCTGAGTACTAGTTTGAATATCAACGATATTCAATGCTTGATCTTCTCCGCAAGTAACAATGCTCTTGCATTCAGGATCAAACGTCATTGCATTTACTTTTCCAGTGTGACCTTTTAATGAAATAAAATTCTAGTCATTAATTTCACATTTTAAAAATTTATTTACAATTAGAAGTAAATGTAAAAAAAATATTACTTTTAACGGTAAATTGTAAACTATAATTGTCCATACTCCACAAAAATAATTCTCCATCTTCTGTGCCAGATACTAATAACATCTCATTGCTATAAATATTAAAATTAATTTCAATTTAATTCTAGGAATTATAAGAAATTTGAAAATTTTAAATGAATAAAAGAATCACCTGGATATGTCGATACACGTTATTTTTGAATCATGATCTAGCTGAGCTATAAAATATTCTGATGGTTTAATTTTTGATCCAGAGATGTAACTCTGCCAAACTTTGGCAGTACAATCCCACGATCCAGAAATAACAATTTGTCGCGACGGACTCCATGCCAAACAAGAAATTGCATCTTCGTGAGCTCGTAATGTATCAATCGTTTTACCAAATTCTATATCGTAAAATATCCTGAAAATAAAAACGTCGATTGAACGTCATTTAATAATAACGTTAAAGTTAGATGTAATATTTTCATTATTATAGAATTAGATATTTATTTACAGTGAATTGTCCCATGATCCAACAACGAGTATATTATGAGACGATGCTGTATAATATGATATACAGGATGAAAGTGGCAGAGATGATAAAGGAACACTTCGTGTTGGTTTTTTGTCTTTAATGGAATATAACTTAAACATACCATCATGACCTACAGATAGTATTTCATCATATGTTCCTTTATTAATTACTATAATACAGCTTACTCCGTCCTTATGTGATTGAAATGTTAGAAATTCGGATAAATTGATCGAATCTTTTGTGAGAGACTTATTGTCTGAAAAACGATTTAAAAAATAAAATAATATTAACAGCAATTGAATGTAATTCAATCGATAGAAGGCATACCCGTGTCTGTCGTGTTTGAAATAGTTAACATTGAAATATTTAACGCATCTATCACTGGTGCTAATCTTTTAGGATGAGGCAAAGTAAAAACTTGTTTAGGAATTTGTCCAAATTCCATTATTTGTACTTCATATCCGTGTCGATCATTAATATCTCGAATCGTATCTAAATCAACTGCACCCTCATAACACAGGTGAAAAAATACTAAAAATATATATACGTATAATAAATTTACAAGACCATGTTAACAAAAAAGAACTAACATTAGACATTATTACCATTATCAGCTTTTATTGCTTCAATTCCTTTTTGCTTGTATCCAAAGATCAAATCTATCCAGTGATTTAAATTCTTTGAAACGTAATCGCTTTCTAAAGCATTTCTTAATTTTTGGATAAAATCTGAAGGTCCTGAAATCGATATAGTTGAAAAAAAAAACAAAAAATGATTAAATTACAAATACTTTAATAAGTAAAGATATAATAAAATAAAAATATGTAATATCAAATCCCTAACAGTTTGTAGAAAAGTATGCACATAGGAAATATTTTACCTTCTGCCCAAGGTGGCAGCTGCACATCACCGATTTTAGTACCATCGTGTCGATAACCAAAATCAATACCATAACTATTTACTAAAAAATCACCACCATTGTTTGTGTCATAAAACTCTGGGATCAATTCTTTAAAGTCAGACATGTTCACCAAAACATTTTTCCATACGTCAGCTACACTGTTAGGTATTTTATTTGCAAGAGAGTGAAACAAAAAATCGATTCTGCATTCTGGTATTAAAAGTATGAGTCTGATATTAAAGGCAAGTACAATGAAATACTATTTCGTTAATACGCAACGCTATTATTCAACTTTTCTAGCCATATATCACAAATAAATTATCAGTGTTAAATTTTTTAAATACAAAATATTTTTCATTATAATTTGCATAGAGAGAGAGAGAGAGAGAGAGAGAGAGAAAGAGAGAGGAGAAAGAAAGAGAGTAAAGAAATATGATTAGGTTTGTAATAATACCTGTTAAACATTCTATCAGGATGATCAAATCTTCCATTTTGAAGACAAAGCATATATTGCGGATACTTTCTCACTAAGTAAAATAATACAAAACCTGGCGTACTGTAATGAGATCCGTAAAGAAATTTTTGTTCTAACATTTCTGAGTAACGTTCCTATACACAAAATAATATATAATCATATAAGATACTATAATAATAATTTTTTTAATAATGATTTACCTTTAATCTTTCTAATCTAGTAGGTTCAAGAGCGCCGATAGGCTTAGAAAGATCTCTATAAATATCAGGGTTGTTTAAATCCAATGTTGCTGATGTGTAATCTTTTATTATCCATGGTATTACAGGATATTGAGTCAAATCATGGAAAGTTCTGTCTGCCAAACTAAAACATAATTATTAATTAATTAATAATCTTTATTATATTAATTTTTTTATGTATCTTTACCTATTAATATACAAAAGGTAATCATAATTTGACAAAGAACCATTCTGCCACCTCATCGTCATTTGATTCTGAGGAACAGTTTCCAGCGATACAGCAGATTGATCTAATAATTTGTTATAAAGTTCATCTCTATCATTTTGATTATTTAAAGAAAGAAACAAGTATTCGATTTTACTATCAGCTTGCTTCTGCCATTTTATTTCAAGGCCCTATTTATAATAATAATTATTATTATTAGATAAATAAATAATGTAAATGTTATAGTTGGTAATTTTGATACGTACGACTTGTCTCAAAAGAAATCTTCTTCGTATAATACTACTTATATCTTTTAATTGTATTTTTAAAACAGGATGCTGAAAAAATAGTTTAATTAATCATAGAATTTTATAATATGAATGAACATACAAATGTATGGGCTCACCTGATCCATATTATTATAAGGTTGAAAATATAATCTAGACGTAGTCAATAATACCCTGCCTGGATTAATAACGAGTGGTAATACTTTATTAGCTTGAATTTCTAAAACAACCGTTTCATACAAATCTTCTAACCAAGATGTATCGAAAGATACACGAGATTGTCTGGAGTGAACTATGGTCATTATCTTGTAAAAAGAAACAATTGTTATAATGCAAAAAGACTTAATAATGCACACATATTATATTTAAAAATGATATACCATTGCGTTTTGTTCAGCTGTTGGCAAAGTAGCAGCACGATACAATTGCAATATTTGAGGAAGACAATTTTCTACCTTGGCATAATTGAAACAAAATTGAAACATTGCATTTTTATGGATAAATTTATATGGGGCAAGAACATTTTTCTCTAACATCTCCACATACTGTTTACATTTAATATTTAACATATTAGTGGGTCTGAAAAATTGTTAAGCGTCAGCAATTGATAACAATTAATAATATTGCATTGAACTAATCTAAATAACATTGGAAAATAATGCTTACGTTTCTATATTATCTTCTGAATTATCCTGCTCGACGGTTGTGATTTCTTTAAGTTGTATTTTGATCAAGGGTTGAATGAAATCTTTATTAACAAAAACTAAAGACTTGGAACAAAGTTTCAATCTTCCGTCAATCCATTCTTTTTGTTTTGGAAAGGAAGATTTTACCGCTCTCATCTGTACGCTATAATCTTCAAAAAATATTTCTCCAGGCTCTAACAAGAGCATAGTAAATCTATAAAAAAGAAATATTTTGCAGGCTAGTTTGAGATCATAAGTACTATAAATCCTAATAAATCCTGATAAAAAATACTACACAGATTGCGTGCATAATAAATTATTTATTAATATTACTAACAAACTTATAAGAAACGTGCAAATTATATTAGGAATAATAATCGGCTTACCTTTCTTTTTCCATTATTATGTATTTATAAGTATAAAAAGAGTTCCCATTTACATATCACAATCGTTTCTTCTTCTTCTCTTATTGTCTAACTTGTAACAATAATTATTTACGTACTTTCATTTTGAACTAATATTTTTAATTTTAATAATTAAATTGCTCTAATTTTTATTTTAAAACAAGTAACTATCACATCGGTATGAATTATGAATCATCTGAAAGTTTATTTCTATAGTTCAATGATATTTCATGGTTACAGTAATGTATACATATTGTAATTTACCATTACAATAATCAAGGAATTTTTTTCTTTTCTTTTTCAGAGTTTTGATATTATTTATTACAATTAGTATAAAATACAATCTAATTTATAAATTAAATATTTTTATATATTTTATCCTATAAGTTATAATAATTAAAAACAATGTTTCTTTAGAAACCTATTATATTAGGTATTGTTATATATTACCGACGAAGTAAACTAATTACCGACGGAGTATTGCCGTTATTGCCGCGATTTATGAAGTAGTGCGATTGTCAATTGTTCGTCGGTTGTCTTAAGAATAAGAACGTTTTGTAGCGTAGTTTCAAATCTCATTAGTTTTATCATTTTAATTACAATTATTAAAATACTTTAGCATCATTTTTAATTAAGAAGAAATCTATAAGAAATAAAGTGGATCATATATACTTTATAAGCAAATATGCGTTATTGTATGTGTAAGAAGAATTTTACCATTGTAATCGACACATTTTCTTAAATTAACAATTTTTTTCTTTTTCTACGCAATAATTGAATAATATTTTGTTATAAATACATATCCTTAGTATTAAGATTTAGGATATTATTAAATTATACTTTAATTATCGAAGTTTTAATGAAATTATGCTATAATTTCGAGAGACTCTCAAGTGAAAGTTTTGTGTGCTCGTAAGACGGTGATTTATTTTATTCATTTATTTTATTATACATAAGTGATTATGTGATATATTGTTGTATTTTTTGAAAGTATCATGAAAATATTTCGTTGAACAAATTAAGAAATACGTTTAATTAGATGCTTCCTGTGCACCAATAAGTTACTTGAAAATCTGGAAATCAAAATAATTTTTTAGTAAGGTATTCATGATAAAAAATATTTTTAAATTTTTATTATATGAATTGAGTCTCCATAACAACAACTTACTCGTGTTAAGCCCCAAGTTAATGGACTGTTATTTTTTACTTGTAAAATATTTAATTATTTTATTGATTAAAAAACAAATGAATGTTTAAATTAGAGTATCAAATTAACTTTCCAAATTTCTATTTTATTCAAAATTAATTTCAAACTTTGTTTCAATCGTTCTTTCCATCTTCATATCATTTTTCTTAGAATAAGTTTCTTTATTTTATTTTAACAATTAAGAGGAATTATATTTCTTATCGAATTTGTTTATCTCAATAGGGATTAATTAGAAATGGATAATAAGAATAAAGAATTTGTCTCGCATGCTACGCTTCCACGTAAAGAAGAGCTCCGTTGCATTGTTTGTGAAATCGATTTTATCGAAGTTCAAAATTCGTTAGCAAAGTCGAATTATCATTGGCAAACATTAAAATGTCGGTAAGATTATTATATTAATTAATTAATTATTTATCATTATTATTATTATATAAAAAAAGTGAGCGTGGAAAATAATGATATGCATTTTACCGCACGAAGATCTTCACTTAAGAATCTTTCGAAACTTATGATATAATTTCAGTAAAACATCGATAATTAAAGTTTAATCGATTAATTATTTTTAATTTAAATGATTCTGATTAATGTAAATTCATTTTTAGATTAATTATTCATATTTTTCCTGAAATTATTGCATCTCCACAACCTGGCACAAATAATTCAATAGTTATTATCGTTTCTAATAAATTTTTGAAGACTGGAAAATTGCAGAAAACTTTACGAACTTTGAATATGCTGGCAAGTGTTTTATTAATATTAGATATTCATTTTATTTATTTAAATAATAAAGAAATTCTTTTTTTTATTTAATTTTTATTTTATAGTTTAAAAATCCACAACCAGTAACAATAGAAGATTATATCATTTGTCTTAATTATACGATAGAATGTAAATTAGCACCAAGATGGAACAAAGTTGGACAATATTTTGTACAAGGAAAACAATTTTATATGTCCATGCAAGAAATGAATGCATTAAAATTGCAAATTTCTATAAACGGTATTTCAATTTATTATCAAATGATTTATGCATATGTTTATACATTAGATTTTATATTGGAACAAATTTATAGATGAAAACGTGTCGTTTACATTTCAACCGAGGAAACTCAAAATACCGTTTATACAATTAGAAGATTTTTATTTGTTACGTTCAACGATAGTTGATTTTCTAATAGATAATAATGGTTTTATCAATTTGGTAGATTTTTCTCAATCGGTATACGCCTTACCAAGGTATTTTCAAATGTTTTAAAATTTTTATTTAAATAATTCTTTTTAAATTTTAATAACATAAATTTTCTATTGTAAATTATTACCTTAGTATGTGTATGGGAAAAGTTATATCTGTAACTAAAAAGATTCCATCAAGTTGTCCATTCAAAGATTATGTACAATTACGTAGACATTGGAAGAATATGGTATAGTTTATTTTTAAATTTGATTAATTAAAATTTATGAAATTTTTTATACAGCTGATATAATTATTTGCAGTATGGTTATCGGTTACCCCAAACATCTGAAGGAATTATTTATTACAATATTAAATTTCCATTTTCCAGTGTTAATCGTTTTACATATCCAAACACATGCGTAGCTTTTAAACCTATACAATTATTTCCTTGCAACGATAGCGAGTATATAATTTCTCAATTTATTGATGATATATGTGAGACAATATCTGATATATGTGGCAATCGGTTACAAATATTGTCGCATCAAAAAACAAATGTACAATTCTTTTCGTTAAATGAAGTATGAACAATTTATTTCATATTATAATTAATGTATTTATATAGTAGAGTGTACATACAATTTTCTACTTTTTTTTATAGTATACATCAAGTATTAAGAATAAACTATCACCACCAGAAAACAAAAGAACGAGTTCATTTTTTATGGATATGACAAATACTGAAAAAAAACCGAGATTAGAGTTTTCATCAAAATATGAACATTGGTTATTAACTAATACAGAAAAACCAATGTGTCAAACATTAAAACCAACTGGATATTTAAATGAAATTGAAAAAATTCATACTACGAGTATACCTGTTGCTATTAATAATAAAAAAACAATTCTTAATGATCAAGATGAAATAAACGATAGTAAATTAATGAATAATAATTCATTAAATTACAATGAAACACTTGCTACATCTTCTAATTGTGTACAGCATATGAAGAGAAAATGTCCAGTTTTTGATATCAATAGAGAATCAATGTATTCCATACAACAAAGTACGGATACTAATACAAAATTAAATCAAACATTTGTGAATATCAGGAATGATATAAAAATGGTTAGTAAAAATCGTCTTGTGCTTTGCAATAATATATTTCATTCTTATTTTAATAACATTTTTTTATAAATAAATATATAATAATCTTATTTGCACAGAATCAAGAAGTTGACATAGAATTGTTAGCGAAACTTAACCAATTAAATCAAGTTAATAGTTCTGTTTTAAGAGATTGGTTACAGAGATATTCAATTCCATATAAAGTCAAAGACAAGAAGACTGATTTAATATCAAAAATAATGGGCCACATAAAGAAGAAAGGAACTCACAAGTAGAACTCAGTAACTAACATTTTTTTAAATTCACATAATTACGTACGCTAGCATTAAAAGTTTTTTATATATAAATAATAGTTTGTTTCTTATAGTTTAAATGAATAAAAAATTAATAATAAAATAAATAAGTAGTTAATTTTATAAAATCAGTATCATTAAAAATCAATAATATAAAATACCTCTATGACAATATTTTACATTTCAATATTTTGATACATTTTTATAGCTGTTAATATGGCTGTCCTTTCAGCAGCCTCTTTTATTCCTATTTCTTGTAAATCATAGTCATTTAACATTTGCATAAGATCCATGTCTATCTGTGAAGACAAAAAATATTATTTTTGTTTTAAATCATTACAAAGTAACATGTATCATAAATTATATTTACTTCTTCTTTAAGAAAAATAGACATATGATGACTCAAACCATATCGTTTTAAGAAAATAATCATTTTAGTTTGCTGCGAGTTTAGAATCATTCCTCTTGGAGGAGTTTTGTAACGAGGCGGTGTAGGCGTCTTGTCGCCTGATACATTTTCATCATTAATGTATGCAGGTACATTCGGCGAAGATGTAGGACTATAATCTAGTACTATTTCAAGCGTAGTGTTATGATCATTTTGAACAGATGTGAGATCCAAGTCTGCTGGTCGTATAGACCGTAATCTTTGAAGGAATTATTATTTATTATCTTCTTTTTTAAAATAATATTCACCATATAATCCATTACAGTTGTTTACCTTTTAAGTATTACATTTGGTGAATGCATCGAATCATTTTTCAATTTACAAGATTCTATTATTTTATTATACTTCATTTCAATTTCTTCTTCGTCATTTTCATTGATAGTTGCCAAATTTGTATTACAAGTTTGAACAAAATATATATTCGGAGAAGTTGGACATTTTTCGCAAGAAATTTCTAAGAAAGTAGGCGATATTAGATTTGATTCCTCTTCTGATGTATTTATAGATAAAAAATCAAAGTTAGATTGTAAATCTTTTTTTTTATGGGCACTCTCTATAGTTTCTGTTAAATTAAATTGATTATTTGTATTAGCATGACTTATATCAATATATATTGGAGGGAAATTAGTTAGAGTATTTTCATTATTATTGTTAGAATCATGTAATGGTTTTGAAATATATGGAGATTTGTTCTTGCAGTCAGATATAAAAATATTATCGCATTCAGAAATATCATTGCTTGATTCATTTTCCCTTTCAATATCATCCGATTCATCATTCCAATAATTCTCTATTTCATAATAATGTTTTGCTAAATTTGATATTTCTGGTATCGTTGATAGTTTCATCATAATGTGTGTATATTCATCTATAAAATAATTAGAATATATCTTTGTATTGTTTCAGTTAGTATATTAAATATACATTGTAAAAGAATAATATATCTTACTGGCTTTGGAAACATCTAAACCCATGTCAATCAAAGAAAAAAACATATCTTTATCATTTTTTAATGCGGCTATACATAGCGGAGTAATATCATCATTCTCTGCATTTTTTAATGTAGATGGACAAATTTCATATATCAGTTGCAACATTTCTTTATTTATTGCTGAAGCTATACCAATTATTGACATTCCTGTTAAATATATTGAAATTCTGTATTTATAGATATCATAAATATTTCATATTTGCAATATACTAATTATTAATTTTTATTGAAAATTACGAAGAAATTATAAACAGCTAGTAGTAATGTACCAAGATAAGTCGAATCATTAACGTTTGATTTTTGTTCTAAAAGTAATCTAACAGTATCAATATTTCTATTTCTAATAGCTTGCATCAATGGTGTCCAGCCAAAATTATTTTTCCTGTTAATAATTTGATGATTTTCTTTTTTCTTTAAAAGTTCTTTGATAATATTACAGCAACCGTATGCTGCACTAATATGCAATAAATTTTCACCATAATTATTAACGGCATTCAAAGTGTATTCTGTAATATATATTTCATTGTTTTATTAATTGCAAAACAATGTTAAGGAATATAGTAACTTTACCTTGCGTACGTAATAACTTTATAACTCTTGATTCTATCGCTTTCTTATCTTTTTTTCCATTTTTGTCAATATTATTATTCCAAGTGTTCATTATTTTAACTATTTTAATTAACACTTGTTAAGATTATAAAGGCAATGATAATTATAACGTTATATTTCTGACAAATGATAGATGATAACAAACATGTAAATATTTATTATTGTGACCTTATAAATTATATGGCTGTTATAATCAACAAATTAATATTAATATTATTAGAATTTTATATATTTATCGATAAATAAGAAATTTTTATAATAGTTCTAATATTGTAATATCATCAGTTAGTATCAAGTGACAATTATATTTGGTTTATAAAAAATTTAATAATTTATAAAATCATATTTTTTTTATTATAATCATTCGAATATAATTGTAGCGTTTGAATTTTGGCGGTTAATTGAGCAGTACGTCACATCCGTAAAAGTTCATAGAGAACATGCCGGCTAGGTGGTGGCAGCACAGTCTCACGCAGTGTGACGTTCGAAATGATTTCTGCAAGCGTTTGAATTTCACTCGAGGAATCTTATAGACGCTTATCTATTTAATTAAAACTTTTATGCATTCACAATGCATAATACTTAATAATAAGTTTGTAATATCGTCGAAGTGCATTATTCAAGTCTATACGTTTGAAATAAGCCGGACTTAGTGATCGCTTTAAATCTATTGTAACTCACGCTCGGTTGACCCTGTTTTTATACTTTCACCAACCTATTTTCATACATTCATAGCAGTAAGTATACCACGACTACTATTCAAATGTCAAAATATGTTATATTATATTTAAATGTATGTTTCCTGATACAAAAGTTATGAATATTTGTTAGGTTAGCTTAAAGACGACGCTGAGGTCAAATTTGTTGGGGTGGGGGCACTAATTAAGCAAATGTGGTAGGGGGAAACGGGCAAGCATCGCTACCGTTAGCGAATGATTTTTCCGGATATTTATCTTACTAGTATATTATTTTCTGTCAAAAAATGAACATTTGTCATGACTCTTTGCCAAGTCATCTTTAATGTATATACATTGTCATAGTTTAATGAACTCCAATTTTACAACAATATGGAGATAGTGTACTACTTATTATCATAAAAGAATTCTACAAGCTATGGCTTATTTATTAGTTAACATCATAATTCAACGTGCTCACATGTTGTTGTTATTATTTTGAATCGCAGAATGGGGAGCACCAGTCAGTTGTATAGTCTCTCATGGGGAGAATTCAGCTCGTCTTTGGCCTCTGCAGTACAATTACTTAGAGGACATGGAGATTTAGTCGATGTAACATTAGCAGCAGGAGGGCGTAGCTTTCCTGCACACAAGATAGTTCTATCGGCGGCAAGTCCATTTTTGCTGGATTTACTGAAGGTTACATCGATATTTTTATATAAATTATAACATTCGATATTAGGATACTATCTGACGTTTAAGATTTTTCATTATTTGTAACATGATGCGATGATCTTTTCAATACAGAGTACACCTTGTCAACACCCAGTAGTGATGCTAGCTGGTATAGGTGCAGATGATTTAGAATCATTATTGGAGTTTGTTTATCGAGGTGAAGTCAGCGTCGAACCATCTCAACTACCATCTCTGCTTCAAGCTGCTCATTGTTTGTGTATTCATGGTCTATCACCGCCGACAATATTAACCGAAGTATATCTTTTTAGATATTTTGTTATTTAGTTTTAAATACTTTTGTAGATATGTATTATACTCTTATCTATATTATAATAATTATATTTATTAGAGTGGCGAGGAAGTACCTGCATCTGCAATACCGGCAGCTAGTGAAGCTTTGTCTCGTGAAACTCTTAGTTCGTATTTCCCTTTAAAAAGGAGGAAAAAGAGAAGAAAGTCTTCTTCATCGTCGGGAAAGTGGGCACGTGGAAGTATGACTAATGATAATGAAAACAGGCATTTAAATACGCACGCAGATGATCATGCTACTACAGATTATGATCCAAAAGATATCGATGCTCACCATGGTGATGACACAGGTGAGATAAAATTGATCTCTTTGTCAGTTGTACAATTTTGTTTTATTTGTCATATTAAATAATTGAATATAATATCGTATGAAAAGAAACAATTGTACAGTTAGTTGTAAATTTGTTAATTATGGAAAAGTTAAGTTTAAAAGAATAAGAGAGAAGTCGATATGCTTTTGTATAAAGTAGATTAAAATTTTCTAGTTTAATACGTTCTTTTTTATTATATGATTTAAGATATATATATATATACATATACATATATATTTCCAATAGCAACAGCGAAACAATTAATTTGTGTTTTGTGTCCGATATATTTGTTTTACCTAGCATATTATTTATCTATCTGTGAGATATATGAAATCTCTTTAGGTTATCCTTTTCATTAATACGGACACAAGCACAACCATCGGTTGGGTTGAACTGCAATGAAAATTGGTAACGCCATATGTTATTATATCTAAGATATCAGAAATTTCAGATAAGAAGGTCAGTTCAGCCCTGCATGGTAACATTGTGTTTGTGTCTGTTAGCAGCAAGCGATCAGTTGGGATATACAAATCATCAGGATAGCCATTCACCTTCCTCCAAAGAGGCTAAGCGAGTAACAACCGAAAATTCTCAAGCAGGAGCTCAACAGGAACATACGTCAGATAGTGAACATCACTTACAGACAATGACGTCGATACAACAATATTCACCACTGCATATACCTCAGTTTCCTGGTTCAATGAACATGGGCTATCCACCAGGTGTACCGCTTTCTCTAACACAAGGATCAGCAGCCGGTACAGCTACGTGTAATATAGCAGGAAGTTTAAAAGTTCGTGGTGCTTCAGATTGTCCAGGCATGTGTCCACTTTGTGGTGCTACGTTACGTCAAGCAAGAAATTTACGCAGGCATCTTTTATCGTCTTGCAAGTGTCGATTTAGTAGTCATCCATTGCAAGGTCCATTGTCCGATTCAATGTTGATCGAAGTTAAACCAGAAGTAGAAGTAACGGAATACAGTGATCAATCAGCCAATCATGGGACTGACAGTGGGAATAATAGTGAACGAATTATTTGTAAACCCAGTCCGCTTCCTTCGCCGATATCGCGCGAATCTAATGTTGTATCCCCACACAGCAATGCACCGTCGCCGACTATAGCCAGATGAAAATATCGGAAAAAGTTGAAAGACAGGACTACTTAGCACTAGTGGTGTTATTGCTCGAATCGGTTCGTCTGTTTCATTTAAAAGGAACATCATGCGTTTAGATTAATTTTTTTTTCATTTTTTGTCCCACCTAATTAAAAGCCAACCAAGTTTTGAATATCTTTCGTTAATGTACTTATTTTCAATGTAAGTTTCATATTGTACACAGATTTTTTGTACAATAATACGAATAATTATATATTGTACGGTTTTTTGGATTATATCCAAATGAAAAGAGATTATCATAACATTTATACTTTATGTTTATACATATTTATCTATTTTTTCGAACTCATTTTTTTTTCTTTTTTTTCTTTTTCTCTACGATTATATGTTCCTTCGAATACATACATAAATTATGTTATATGCGGCCTGAGATATTTATAATTCATTTCATCTCATGTAGAATCTTCCATGATAGCAAGTAAGAGCAGTATCCTAGGGTTAATGGGAGTAGCAGTCGATTAAATTTGTAGTCATAGTGCAAGGGATGGGGTATGTATAGTAAAATGTGCTCCGAATTTTTAACGTCTTTAAAGATACGTTATTCATTCATTAATTCATTAATTCATTCATTTTTCATTCATTTTTCATTCATTTATTCATTCATTTTTCATTAATTCATTAATTCATCTATTCATTCATTTTTCATAAAACTCGCAATATAAATGCAAATATAAATGTATATATATATATGATTTTTATTATTTTTTATTCGTTTGCGTTTAATGTTATTCGATAATTATTTCCTCTCATCGTTCATCGAATGTTAAAACTCATTAATCAAAACATTATTTCGTTTTTTATCAAATAAATATTTTTACCTTACAAAAAATTATCCGAGAAAAGAAGAAAAGAATTTTTAATGGTATAATAAGAGTCTTGATCCATCAATAGTCATATCATAAATAAAATTTTGAAAATCACGATGATGATGATGAAGAAGAAGAAGAGAAAGAAAGAAAAACAAAAATGTTTTTTACACATTCCTTATCGTTTTTATAAATTACAGGAATTGTAAGCAGAAGAGACTATTGAAGGGTCCTAATTAAAGATACAGATTTTCATATACACATACATACTCTATAAATTATTATTATTATATAAATATATAAATAAGCGGTAAGAACACGTCGTATAGTAAGAAAAAAAAAAAGAAAAGAAAAAAAAAAGAAAAGAAAGGAATTTTTTTTTTCCCTCTGCGTTTGTAAATAAAGAAAATATATGTGATATCATTTTTTAATAACAATATAGATATTACGAAAAGGAGAACGTAGTGTTATGTTATGTATTTTGTAATTATTAAAATAATATTACCGTATTGTGTGCAATGTATTAAATGCACACGGTGCATCCTGGCAATTCGATATTTTTGTTTTGTTTTTTGATATTATTAAGTTGTACTGATGACATTACTGATTATTTTAGAATTTAGACAAAGGCTATACATATGCATATACGTATACATATTTGAATTTACAATACAAGATATTTTAATAACAGCAGAACATATTGTGTATTGTATGTGTGCCATATTATTATAAATAATACTCGTAACGTTATATATTTATATATATATATATAGTTTGTTATATATGTATATATATAACAAAAAAGTATACCTCATGTAAATACATGCTTTACATACGCGCTTATATGAATTACTAGGTAATATCATTCGTTTATAGTTATATTGTTTTCTATGCAAGATATATACTTCTTCATGGAATTCATTTTAGGAGATGGACAATCGAAAACAAGGAACATGTCAGATCAACCAATATCTTGTCCATTATGTGGTGCGATGTTACGCCAATCGAGGAACTTAAGAAGACATTTGGAATTATTACATTTTGGACTCGGCAATGGTAGCAAAGCTGGCCTACATGTGAGACATCGAAGGAACGACAGAGGCGGAAATTATTTTAGACCATCCTTGCCATGCATTCGTACACCGCACGCACCTAGAACGGACTCTCATCATCCAAGAGCTAACGAACATTCGGATTTCCCCACGATGACACCTTTATCTGTTCCTTCGACGGTGAGCTCTGGTACGTCGAGTATATGTAGTACTTAAAATACACACATACACACATGCGTACTTATTTTCCTGGCCGATAAGAATGAGGGAGAAAGAAAAGCAATATTATTATACGGCGAACTTCGACGTTGTCTACTATCGATGAATTGATTTCTAAAGTAAGAATCTATTTTTTTTTAATTTTTTTATTTTTTTTTTCATTTCTTTCTAAACACAAAAGGAAAGGAAAGAAGGAAAAGAAACAAAGATAAATATTGTTTTTTTGTTAAAAAAATCTAGGCAATCTCATGGGACCAGGTTCGAGTGTATTAGGATCAGCCGAACAGAACGCACATTCCATATCTACGGCTACTTCTTGCGGTGTATCCATGGGACCAGCCAACAACGGGATTTATACGTCAGATACCAGTGCCAGTATGCTTGGCTGTTTACTACCATCTTTGCCTTCACTGCCTTCTCTTTCATCTCCGCATGATGTTTTTCGACATGGTGAAATGTTACGAGCATATCATGATCCTTCGAGACAACATGCAAGACATTTGCAACGCACCGACGTTACCTAATTTTTACGACCTTATCGTTAAACACGGACGTTTGCGTTTTTATCTGTTTATAATTCTATTAGATTTTCTTTTTTCTTTTCTTTTAAATTTTATTTTTCCTCTCTCCCGATTGGGAATGAATTTATTATATTATATTTTATTTTATTGTATTTTATTTTATTTTATATTATATTTTATATTATATTATATAATATTATATTATATTATTTTATATTATTTTATATTTTTTATATATTAATACAATTTAGTAATTTCTTTTTCTTCTTGTTAAACTTGGTGGGAAAAGTGCTTTTATATATATGGATAGATATTTATCTGAAATAATTGTAAATTAAGTCGATCATTTTTTTGTATTTTATTATTTTTTATTTCGACAAAGTCTACGGATAATTTAATTATTTAAGCCTCTCGCGTTCGTAATTATCTTTCTGTTTTCTTCGGTTCTTCTTTCTTTTTTTTTCTTTTATAATGGGAAATAGGATACCGCTATTTACTCTGTGCAAATTCGACGTTACGATAGGAAAGAAGTTAGAGATTTATGATTTTATTAGTAATATACAGTACGTCTGAGGATTTTCCAGTCAAACTGTGTTAGCGTGTTCTATGCATGAAAATAAGAAAAAGAATGTTATATGTTAAATTACCTATGTTTTTATAACTTTTTTTCTTATTTTTATGCATAGAACAGGCTGAAACCATTTACCCGAAAAAACTAAAGACACCCTGTATAATATACATATATATATGAACAATTATATTTGATATATATATATATATAATTATGTATGAGCTGGTAGTACAGGTATATCATTTTTTTTATACACATTGTACATAAGTATTGTACAAAGTGATTAAAAAAAACATAATTTAAAAAATAAGGTGTCAGAATTATAAAACACAATCACGAATCGTGATGTTATCATTTTATTATATAAACGTACGTAACACAACAAGATAAGTAAAGTAGAATGCTTCGAAAAACAATATATATATATATAAAACAATATATATATATATATACAACCGATAACAATTGAATTTCATTTTTGATCAGATTGTATATTACTATTATTCATATATACCAATTTACGGTGACCTGTATAAAAAAGTCTTTTTAAAAAAAAAAAAACAATAAGATAACACATCGAATGAATGAATGAATGAACGAATTATTTTTTTCTTCCTTTTTCTTTTCGCTTTGTTTTTTCTTTTGGGGTTGGAAAGAAAAGGAATTATTGTAAGCGACTTTTATGGCAGTAATTATTCTCAAAACCATTGTTTTTATCTTCTCTTTCCGTATATCTCGATACGATTATCGAGGAGTATTTAGTATCAAGAAGAAAGAAAAAAAAAAAAAAAAGAAAAGAAAAATAATTTATACGACTAAATTCATTTCTTCTTGTTGTTCAGTATGACCGAGTACAAATGGCCAGTTCCTGTTCGATATCCTTTCAAGTTCACCTCGTAGAAGCCTTAATAAATCATCGATGCATTTCACTTCATGTATATCCTGTTTCAATCTTAAAGCGTCCGATGATAAATCAAGTAACTTCTCTTCCTCATACTAATCAAAAAAATAACAATCAAGAATCATCATTGGCATCATTATTATTATTATTATTAAAAAGGAAAGAAATGATATAATGAAGAAGATTAGAAAATTCTTATTGTAGATACCTCGAAGTCTTTCCTCAGTTCGCAAATATCTTTGAAGATATCCTTACTCGCATGTTGAAGCCTCTCGACACGTTTACGAAGATAATAAACCGATTTATCTGGTTCCCCGAGAACGGGTGGTACATTACCATCGGTTTCTATGGTCAATGCTAATCTTGTCAAATTATCGTGAGCTGAAGTTTTGTCACGAAAACGATCATCGTCCAACAGAATCCTTGCTTTTTCTGGATTACTTTCGAGCTCCTGCAGGATCGATACTACTTCGTTTATGGCCGTGGATTGTACCTACAAAAAAATTGGTATAAATATCTTTTTTTTTCATAATTAAACAAAACAAAACTAATCTAATCTAATCGAAAAAAATATATAATTTCTTTAAAAATCTTCAGATTTATATTTTATTATTATATATATATATAACATTAGAGTATTTTTATATTAAAGATAAAATTTGATGCTTTATTTATTAATGTATTTTTATTTTTATTTTCAGAAATATTATCAAACATGGGGAAATGATAAAATACCTGAACGAAATCGGTACTGCAAACACCACTTGATGCAGTATTACCAAGTTCATCGCAAAGATAAACAGGAGGATTCGTTTGTGTGTCACTTTGAGTTTCAGAACTCCAGTCGTTGCTTTGAATACCTGAAGTATCTTCGACAGATGATCGACGAGTTGTTGCTGTTACCGTTACTGGTTGCTTCTTTAAATCATCCCAGGTAACACTCAGCCTTTCGTAACTCGATCTATTGCTAATAGTATCGGTTGTTGAAGCTTTCGATGGTTCAGTCGTTGTTGTCGTCGTCGTTGTCATCCTCTTGAGCACGGCGTCATCCTGAAGGATGCTCGTCGTATTAACGACGGGATTAGGAGAGCTTGTTCGAGCTATTTGTATTTTTGAATTATCTTCGTTCTTGTTGTACGATTCCAACAATGCTCTTAAACGTTGGTCACCTGAATTATTTTTATTTTATTTTTATTAAACACTTGTTGAAGATTAAAAAAGTGTGTCGTGTTAAAGCATTATAATATCTAATGTTTATATTTCAATTATTGATAAATTTCTGCATTTTTTAAAATGATTGGATTTATAAATAAAATTATTTTCTTTTTTTTTCTTTTCTAAAAAAGGAAATAGCATGTAACAGATTTAAAGGGTGTCTTGTTAAATATTAATATATATAATATGTTGATTGTTTAAATAATAATAAAAAAAACATTATAGATTCGTGTGTTGAAGAAAAGGATGTAAAAATTTTATATATTTTTATAATATTAAAAAAGAGAAAAATTTCTTTCTTTTTTTTTTTTTTTCATATAAAAAGAATAATTAATAAGTATATATAGTCGATTAATTCTGACGAGAAACCAATGTCAAAGGATGCATAGTTTTATATGAAGAGTCTGTCACTCGAAAGAAAGCAAGAAAGAGAAAAAGAGACAAAAATAGGCTTGAAACGTGCGTCAGAGAGAGAGAGAGAGAGAGAGAGAGAGTCTACATCGAAGTATATTTATATATATACATATATCGGTAAAATGGTCGAAGTTTTATTGAGGTCAAGAGTTACGTTCAGGAATCGCGTGTCCTAGTTTAGAACATCATTGTAAATACATATCTCTACTCATCCTAAAGAACGAATTATACATATTTCGAACGTTCTTTTTAGAACCGTGATATACTTTGTAATTTATTCAAGGAGATTTTTCGAGTATCTCTCTCTCTCTCTCTCTTTTTAATAATAATTTTGTTCTCTTTTTAAAATTTTTCCATTTCCATCTATCTCTTTTTCTCTCTCTCTTTTTTTTTCCCTCTTCTTTTTTTCGTGTAAGTTTTATTCTTTTTGTAGGTTTTCAAAGCATCGGATCGAAAGGAAACCTTTTATAAATAATAAAGAAAAAAAGAAAAAGAAGAAGAACAACAACAAGAGGGATAAGTACCAGTTTGTTTCGAATCGATGAGATAATTAAGTCGTTTTTTCGATAGCCTAGTCTTACGTGGATTTTCATTTTCAGAACTCATACGAGATATAGAAAGAAAACGTGGGGACGGTATTAAAATCCTGTATTCCTCGCATCTGATCAATCTTTCTGGAGTATAACAAATCCCTCGCGTTCGTTGAAGTATCGGTTCACCACCTGCCAATTCATCGTGCAAATTATGATCCTTTCTATGGGTTATTTTCGTCGTCGTTGTTGTTCTTGTTCTTGTATCCTATGAAAAGAAGAAAGAATTTTAGAGTAAATGTTTGTTTGGATAATCACATTTATAAAAATAATCAAATTAAAAGATATTATTCATCGAACCGATTGATCTGTACGAAGAGCGTCCATTTCAATGAGATCGTTGTCCAATTCATCATTAGTATTTCTCGTTAAAGTAGTGAGTTCTATATTTTCACAGGTCTCGTCATCGTCATCGACGTTATTATCGTCATCAGGATTCTTCGAATAATCCGATACAAAGGTGTAAGCATCAGCCTCGTCCGAATCAATGCACGATAGCATTGAAGTTGACGATCCTGACGATCGGCAATCCTTATTTTTATTATTTCCAGTTATATTTGTAGGACATTCCAATCCACCAATGAACCAACCAAATTCATCTTCCTTATTTCCTGGTGATCTATCGATCCTAGCTGTTTCACCACCAGCACTCCTTCCGTTTAGATAAAACATCATCAATGATCTCAATCATACACTGTTCAAACATACAATTATTTTGATTAGTCAATTTTTTGTTTCTATCGCTTTAAAACTATACACACACACACACACACACACAATGCATTAAATTGTTATTATTGTATTTTGTGTTAATAATTTTATGATAATTTGTTCTAATTTGGGATTCACGTATACAGTATTCGTCATTTTAATTATATTTTCATTCAAACATATTATTATTATTATATTTTATTATTTATTATTTAATTTATAATAATATAATTATTGCGAACTCGCGAAATTTGTTGTTTGCTGCTACTATTTGTGCTCGTTTATTTACGCTATTAATTTCTTTTTCTTTTCCATTCAATGATAATTTTAAATCAATAATTTTATGCAATTCAATTAATTTTATTAACGTTACGTTAACTCACGAATTTAATAATGCAACACAACATGAGGGCGAGATGAATGCGAAAATAAATTTTGAGAAATGTTTAATAAGCGTAATTTGACATCAACGTTAGAAGAGAAGAAACGAAACACAATACACTGCACGCAGCAAACACATACACACACATATACACACACACACACACTATTGAACGAATATCACAAACTAGAGGGATAAAATAGTCGCGATGAACATTCGAACCGATGATAATGATGATGATGATGACATACGTTCAGTGGGATATGTCGAACTTGGTCAATGAGCGGATTTAAAAACACTTGTACGACTTCTGCGGCGACGTAGAACTGACGAGAGAGTCTTCGGTGTTAGAAAGAAAAGAAAAGAAAAGAAAAGAAAAGAAAAGAGAAGAAAAAGAAAAAAAGAAGGGAAAAAAAAAGGCAGAATAAAAATTCACGGTGTCGGCTACGTTGGTAAAGCCCCCAGGTATTTCTTTTTTTTCTTCTTCTTCTTCTTTAACACTCCTCCTCCATCTGTCATCGATAAACGTTAGTTTTATTTTTCAAGTCATGCCGTCTCCCCCCTCCCCGACCCTTCGAGTAAACATTTTAATTAATATTTAAAATGTCGATGTTCATTTTTTTTTTCAATATTTTTATTTTTATTTTATATACCCAACGCGTTGAACGAATTATATTATTTAGTTCACAAGCCTCGAGTTTTTACACGTATTTTATTATTATTATTATTATTATTGTAAATTGCTGACGATCGAAATATCCATGTTTTTCTTGTTTTTTTCTTTTTTTTTTTTTTAATTTTATTCTTTTTTCCTTCTTTTCATTTGGATAAATTAAAACGTTAACACACGTAGATGTTAAAAACGCGCTTCGATCTTCTCGTAATCGTCATCGCCGTTGAACTGATGTTGGTCAAACGTTATAGCAACCGTGAGACTCTTTACACGACCATTGCTTGTCGTCATAGCGATTGCTAATTAAATTAAACCCAACTGATTCTCTCCCTCGTTGCCTTTCCCGTTTAGAAACCTGATATTTTTTCACTTCTATTTCTTCTTCTTCTTCTTCTTATTATTATTATTATTTTTCACTTACCTTTAAAATATTTTGCATGTTTATTTGATTGACCATATTGTTGATTTATACGTTCATCGTGAATTTATAAGTTCAATGAACTCTCGATCTCATCTTTTAAATAAAAAATAAAAAAAAAAAATTACCAAAGAATTAGAAGAAGAAGAAGAAGAACACAGGAGAAAGAAGAATGCACCACTTTCATCGAACTTCTTTTAAATACTAAAATACTACTTGTGTTTCCCCTTTTTATTTATTATTATTTATATATATATATATATTATCGAAAAAAAAATATTTCTTTTTTTTTTTTCTTCTTCCGTTGATAAGATTTAATTTAAACAAATTTATTTTGCGCCGATTACGTTCGAGTCATTTGTCGATTACGCTGGAAAAATTGTACAAAACATTATAACAAGGTTCGATTCTATATTTATTCGAGTTTTACATGGGTTGTTTTTTTTATTTGTTTTCTTTTTGTTTTGTTTTTATCGTTAGTGCATTCGAGACACGATTGGCCTGGCCTCTTTCTTCTTATATGTGTGTTTTTAGTGAGATAAACTGTTTGTGACCCCTGTACCGAGTGATAAATCTCGCTGACTCAAAGCCGGATCGACTAGATCCTCCACGTTTGGCAGACACAGTATTTATTTCACAGTTGCAACGAGTACAACTGCTGAAAGAGAGAAAGAGAGAGAGAGAGAAAGAGAGAATTAACGTCATAGTAAACAATATCCTTTCTCTCTTTCTCTTTTACATTTATATATACATATATATCTGTATGTATATTTTATAACGCGTTTCGAGTGGTCGTTCGTATTATCATCGATGAATTAGTTTTGCTTATTTTTACCTTTTTTTCTTCTTTTTTAAACTTTTCATCCTTTTTATATTAATTTTATCCATACTTTTTAATAGATCTTTATTTATGTATATTAAATGAAATAATCAGGCCGAGTGCCGAGTTACTTTAGACAATGATCTACGGATTGTATAAATTTAAATACAAAGTGTTTAATTTAAAAACAAAAAAAATCAATTTTTGCTTAATTTTGTCATTCATTCATAAGTTAAACGACGCTCAGAGATACGAACAAATTAGATTTACGATTTTATTTTACTTTTCCATACGTTTTCTCTAATCGATTTTTAAATATCTATTATTTAAAAATGAAATAATTGGATTCAATCAATATGCGGATAGGTATTTGCCGATTCCCAATTATCTGCTATTAGATTAATTATAATACTAAGATATTATTTTTCTACATTTCTTGACAAATTTAAAAAAAAAAATATACATATATAGCACGACAATTTGTATAAAAAAATAAGAAGAAAAAAACAAATTAGAAATAGATATGTATATAATTTGTCTCTCCATACAAACAAACAACAACTCTTCGTTTTTTAAATGACAATGTCATTTTAATTAACTCGTTCGATTTATCGATTAGATCGTTTTAAATGGCACACCATCTCTCGATGTATTATGATTTATCGATCAGAAATAAAACGTAAGTTCTAAAATTGCACGTTCTTAACTCGCGCACAGTTTATATTGAAATTGACCTTTGACCTCGTAGCACGAACGTTCTTCCGTTTTAAAGGCTGTTTAAACAACCAACCAGATTAGAAAGAGAGAGAGAGGAAACGATTTATTCACTCCTCGTTTACGTGAGGGGTCTCGTTATCTTTCTCTCTCTCTCTCTCTCTATCTCTATCTCTCTTTCTCTCTCTCTTTCATTTTACACAACACACGTACCTTCGAAATTTCCGTTTAAACCGACAAAGACTAATTTTATCGAGGAACGATTAGCTAAGACAGCTATCGTAACTTGGCCCACCTACTTCTACTTCACTTATACTAACTTCACATATCGTTTCATTTCTCATCCGTTCGTCGTAAAGAGATCTCTTTTTTCCTCTCTCTCTCTCTCTCTTTCTACTTCTATTTCTATCATTATCTATCTACCTATCTATTTATTTATCTTTCTCTCTCTTTCTGTATCATGATTCAGACTTTACCTGATCGCATTGATGATATGAATGGTCACGTGATCTACTCCCAGACCAACACCTTTCGATACACTTATTAACTTTTTTCTTTTTTTTCTTTCTTTTTCTTCCTCGCACTTTGACCACACACTTCTTTCCTTCTTTTTTTTTAATCTCCGTTTTATTCCCCCTCCTTCCTCAGACACACACACACACGCGTAAACAATGCACGCAGTCTTCTTCCTCATTCTTCTTCTTCTATTTGATACATGTTTTAGGATTATATTTTTTTGTTATCTTTTATTCACGATTTCGTAAAGTTATTGGCTAATTCTCTCTCTCTCTCTCTCTTTCTCTTTGTTTGTTTTCTTTTTATTATTATTATTTTTTTGTCTCATGAGAATTTATTTATCGATCGAATTAATTATCTTTGTTATTGGTATTCTCGTTTAATATGTATTAGGATGGAAGAAAAAATGGGTCTTGAATTGTTAGTGAGTATGGTAATTTTATGATAAAAATGTAAGATTTTGGGGAATAAATTTGTTTAGAAAAATTGGATTTATTATAATTGTGATCGTTACAGGCGACGTTTTTTTTTGTTGTACACTTCGATTAGTTTTGTTGGCGGGAAATACGAAGATTTTATAGATAGTATCGTTTGAACGCCATCTTGTGGAAATATCGTAGCGCGTAGAAACGTTTATAATAGTTGTAGCAGATTTAGTTGTTTTTGTAATAATCAGCCTGTGGTCTAAGGGTACGACTTACCACCGTCTATCCAGAACAATGGATTCTGTCGGGTATTCGAGACTACATGCTGATTTTCATTTTTTCTTATGGATTTTTTCGGTCAAAGGTCAGCACTTTCGGTGCTAACGCATATGGATGAAGGAGGGGATTTTTAGGGAACCCCTTAATAGGAATATTCATGAATATTACATTGTACGGCCTTGATCAATGATAAAAATGTTCACCGTATCGGTGATAACGTTATCAACGATGATACACGTTGCTCGTGGACGATGACACTCGTATACGTTTTACTTTCGCAGATGTGTGTTGGAAATCTTCCATATATGCGTGCGTGTATTTGTGTGTTTGTAATCCATACGAATGCAATTCGATTTATGCGTATGTATAAAATAGTTTTTCTTCTTTTTTTTTTTATATTTTTTTTTTAAATCTTTTTTGATGCTGTTCTTCATTTTTGAGAGCTTCAACAAGAGGAGAAGGAGAGAAAATAAAAGGAAAGTGGTGGTGGAGGTGGGTGTTAGGGGCTGAGAGAATAATTTAAAATTCAAACCTCGTCAGATGGTCTATCATTTTTTTCACCAACACAGCAGAGCTTAGTCTATGCACATAAATTTTCTTTCAAGAGTTTTCGTACAATTTTCAAGTACAGTTATTCATTTAGGATCAGGACACACATCTGGGTCTCATTTATTTTCAATGATTTTTTGTTTTTTAACAGAAACACGTGATTAAGGTTGTTGCTTTTTTATTTTATTTTGTATTTTCGAATTAGGGTCTTGATCTAGACCTTTGTTTTAATATATACAAATATGATTATATATAATAGTTGGCCTTGTTTTATGGATTACGTAAACGACGATAAGACTAACTATTAAACTTTGTTATAAAATGATTCATTTACTCGAGTGAAATCGCACGCAGTGTCTCGTTTCGCGATGATTATAAAGTGTTACGTAAATATTTTTTCTATATAAGATCTTACTTGGAGAAGTATTATTTTACGATGAATTTGATACACATTAATAAATATCGTGCATCAATAAATATTGTAAGAATATTTCAAACGATTTACAACAATCGATGATTTGCACAGGTATTGGATATTTTAATATAAAAGAAAAGAAAAAAGGATATAGGGTTTAAGTATACGAATAGGGTGAATGGTAATAGTAAAATTTGTCTCGATTTAAATGCCGAAAAAGAACAATAACAACAAAATGTACGTATTAAAAAAAAATCGTTAACAAGTAAAACAACATCGCGGGAATATTCAAAATGATGTAGTAACGATCGTTAAAGCGCAGACGCGCGTGATAGGTGGGTGAGTGGGTGGGTGGTTATAAGAGTTGTGGTGGGGGTAGGTGTAGAGTAGGCGTAGTAGTAGTATGGAATAAGAGGGTGGAAAAGGGGTGAGCGAGCGTTTTCCAGCTAACGGATCGATATGGAAGACGAGAGTGCGCGAAGAAGACCACATCGTTGCACCTACGTTGTTGTAGTCGTGGTGTTCGTCGGTGACGGTCATCGAGTAAACGGACGAAGCGAGTAGATCGACAATAGTGAATTTTCTCTTATAAAGAAAGAGAGGGGATGGCTAGGAGTTAGAAGGAGGGGTGGGGAGGGAGAGAGGAAGAATTGTGTCTGTAGGGGTGGGTATCCGTTCATCCCTTGTGCGTTCACCCCCGCGGTAGCAGGACTGTTAGTAGTAGAAATATCAGAACGAGCAGCACCGGCGCTTTCAACCACCAACCACCACCACCACCACCATCAACCACCTCCATAACCTCCACCACCACCACCACCACCACCACCACCACCGGCAGCAGCATCGTCGTTCCCTTTGCGACCTGCTCCGGTTCTCTCGCGCGAGAAACGCGCGCGGACTCTCGCGCTGCGTTCCATGAGAGTAACTCGGATTTACTCGCGAGAGATCTGTTTGAGATAATAGTGTTAATAGCTATTAATCTAATTAGTTAAGAAGAAAAAGGAATATATATATTCCTGAATCGTGTTGCCACACACGATTCGGGACCGTACTTCTTATTTATAACATTTCTTCTATCTTAACCACCATCAACCAACTAACCAACACCACCACCAACTGCTACTACTGGAAATTTCGTTAGCGTGATCATCATCGGTTCGTTCACCGTGTGACTTTATCTCTTTCTCTTGGGGTTATGTCTACCTTATTATACGCAAATAGTATTCGTAATAGTAATAATAATAATAATAATCGTAGTAATATTGCCAACGTGTACGCTTGTGTTAACGGGAGTGCCGGCAAAGAAGAAGAAGAAGAAGTAGAAAACGTAAAGTGTACCATTATTATTCTTCATTATTAAAATAATAATAATAATAATAATAACAATAATCATCATCATCGTCGTCGTCGTTTGACGTCATCTAGGAGTCTAACCAAAAAAGAAACAAAAAAGAAAGAAAAAAGAGAGAAGGAGAGATTTATCGTCGAATAAATATTATTTGAATATAGAAATAAAGGAAAATAGTGGAAAAGACATAGTGCAGAATAGGAGGAAGAAATGTCCGCGATGTCGCGGGGTCCGCCCCGCGCTCGCGGACCCACGCGGATCATCGAGAGGACGACGCCTAATCTTGGAAGAGGTAGAACAAGAGGAGGAATCATCCTCAATAATATTGTCAACCTTAAATTCGTCCTCTTGGTTATCCTCGTCACTGTATTCACGCCCCCGGTTCTTGCTGAGAAAAGCAAAGAATGTAAGTAACATTTAATTACAATCTATCGTTAATAATTTATTTTTAATTGTTTCTTATAACTTTATACTTTCCCCTATATTTTTTTTCTTTTTCTTTTTATTTTTTTTTTGTTTTAATACCTGCGTGCGTGCGTGCGTACGTACGTGCGTGCATGCGTGGCGGTTTTTTTTTTATTGCAACAATTTTCGGCGCCAATATCTATGACGGGATATGCCAGCCAGTCTTTTGATCCTGCGTACTCACAACTTTTCCGATTCAACATTTTCGAGCATGCTCTTCTAAACTACCCCCTCCCTATGTAATTTGTTCTTACTTATGTGTGTGTACGTGTGTATATAATTATGTATAGATCCTATGTATTTACGTATACGAGTCTATATATATATATATATATGTATGTATGTTTACATAAATTGTAATGTACATATATGTGTATGTAAGTTCTCTATACCCGAAGAAAAATCTTTCTCGCGGTTCCTGACACGATCGATGTCCGGTCTCTCTCTCTACGCGTCGAGAGAGAGAGCGCGAATCGGACGGACGGACGGACGGACGGATGCGTGCCGGTAAAAGCGAAATCGCTTTTAACGACCACCACTGTACCCATTTTATCCAATTGAGCGAACGAGCGACGACGACGAGTCACCGATATATTTTATTTTATTTTTTTTCTTCTATTTTTTCTTGTCTCCAAAATTTGTGTTTAAACAAATTAATGTATTTTTATATACAAATATGATAATACTTATATATATGTTACAGAATAATTATTGTAGGAGTGAATTTAATTCAAAATTTGAATGAATTATTTGATATAAATATAATAAATTGTAAATAAAAATTTTTTGTATTTTCGATTAAAATAATAATTTAGAGAAGTATAAAAA